ATCCCAAAGGAAGCAATGGGATAATAATTTGGTAGTGGCATCATCTAGTCTGGGCCCCCAAGACTCTAGATTACTTAGGTGGGGACGGCAGCATTTCAGGATTTTTCCAAGTTCTTTATTTGAATTTCAACCTATCTAACGATATTCCTTATTCATTGGGATTTCAGGATACTGTGAAACCAAAGCCTTTCCAACGTGTACTGTTCCTTACACAGATACAAGTCGTTGGGCAAGCCAGCTCAAACAAAAGAAGGCACGTTTCTTTTAATCCTTCCTTTGGTCAGCGTGAGCTCCTATTTCTGGCTTTGTAGAGCTACAGGAAAACAGAAGGGTTCTCAATTCAAATTTCTGAAGCTGGTTTCTCAGAGAAAGGGCTTAGTGGAGGAAAAAAAGATAAATTATATTTTAAGAACATGGTTTCTACTTGCTTGTTTATAGTAAGTTTGTTTTGGTGTCATCGGTTCCTGAATTAAGGATGCTTTATCTTGGAGGGTAGAGGGCCATTCAGCCTTCCTCAGCAGATCTTACCAGCCCCTCAATGCAAGCTTTCTAGTCAATCTGGGAAACCTAGCCTGTAGAGAAAACCCAATCTTGCCCACCTCTTCAGAGTTGGGGCAGAGGGCAGGCAGAATGTGCAGAAGGTGCTTGTTTTTGAATAAACCCGATAGCTTCCAGAGTGGTATTCATTGCCCCCGGGCCGGGATTCCAGCCAGAATGGGGACAAGTAGACCTCAGCTCTCGACCCCAGTCCTCCAGCTGACACAAATGGTACCACCACCAAGCCCTTTGCCTACGAGCTTCTTCTACTAAGGAGGCAGTTGCTGCAGACAGAAGGATGGCTCCCTTCAATTTCAGTGTGTTGCAATTAACTAAGGAATGTAATTTTCACAAAAGACTGATTTATCAGTGATGGTAACAGCTTAGCTGGGACACTAATCTGCTCTGCGATCTAATATCATGGAGGCTCACAAAACACAATCTCTTTTTAATGATGCCCATAAAAATGTGTACTTTGAAGGAAAGTAACCAACTCCTGTCATATTCGTTTGTTTTCTCCCTAGTATGAAAACATAGTCTATGAAAAATATTGATAGGCTTCTTAGAGGGATACATTTCTTATTTATTGACAGTTTAGAAGAAGAAATAATCTGGATTAAATGACTGTCTTTTCTCTCTCTC